TATATATGTGTGTGTGTGTGTGTGTGTGTGTGTGTGTATGTGTGTGTATATGTATATATACACACACATTGATTGGTTTTATACATATATATATATATATGAAACCGATCAGTTTGTGCGTGTGTATATATATATATATATATATATATATATATATATATATATATATATGAAACCAATCAATGTATGTGTGTGTATATATCAATATATATATATATATATATATATATATATATATATATATATATATATATATATATATATATATATTTATACACACACACACCTTGCTAAACGGATAGAAATATAGCATACCTAAGCAAACTGGACCAACTGCAGCACCAAACATCTATCATTTGTACCTCACTTACCTTATATTGTCCTTGTCCTCCATAAAATACAGCATACCAAAGCAGAAATCAGTACCCAATGGTGGAGGTAGCCTAAATCTAGAGGCCGTTGGTCCATCTAAAGGGAGGGTATTTAATGGTATGCATTCTTGTCCTCAGTCTTGGCACAGACCCCACCTCTGACCTTTTCTTAAAAGTCGGAGAAAAAAAACAGGCTGAAGAATTCTTGATTGATTAAAAAATAAATATTAGGAAATAAAAGCAGGCGGCATGTTGCAGAGGACTGGCTGGGCTGAGGAGTGTTCAGGTGTTCTCTGTTTAATGTATAAATGTGGTCTCATTCATGTGGGTGAGGGCTAGCATTATTACCTTGGAGCAGAGATGGCACATTCTTCCCAGTGTTGGTCCTGTCTGTATCTGAGCCCTCTCCTGACTCTTGTCACCCTCTCCCAGGGATGTGGATTGAGACCTAGACACCTTTGTTTATTCAACTTGTACAGGGCGGTTAATACAGTCTTCATTATCTGCCCCTTTTATATAGACTCAGTACAAAGGACCAAGAGCCTTTCTGATAATACCATCAAGGGTTTATTAACCAGGAGAAGACAAAAAAAAAAACTTATAAAGCACATGTTTTTTTTCTCATTTATTTTTGACTGCCAGCTCTGTCCTTCTCAACCCTCTAGATGTCCCTCAAAGAAAACAGCCAATATTTGACTTCATACTTCGCAGAATCTGGCAGCCCTGGATGAATGTTTCCCTGTGGTATAGATTACAACAAAACATATAAGGGATTTATTGAAGTATTATATATTATCACTGGGGGTGAATTACTATAAGATTTTTTTACAACCAATTTTTTTGGAATCTCGGTTTCCCATTCAGTAAAGAGTTTTTTAATAAGTGTCTCAATCAGTTCTAACTATTGGATTATTTAATATACTGGTCAGTTTTTGGCAGACGTATTTCTGATTGGTTGCTATGTGTCACTGCATTAAATAATTAGCACTTAGTGCTCTTAATTAAATAAGGCCGATATTCTGTAGGCCACTGTCAGTATTTTTATGAGTATATAGTTCAACATCCTATTTTATATATATATATATATATATATATATATATATATATATATATAAAATTATCCATATCATGTGATCTCTCAAAATACAATTTATAGATTCTTGGAATATCTCTCTATTTTTTTTTTCCCCAATGGATTATTATTACTTAAAAAAAAAAGGGCAAAAAAGTGACTTCAGCAACTCAAACACCAAAAATATTCACAAATCTGCAATACCTGAAATATGTGTTGTGAGCAGACAATTTACTCTCACTAAATATGGAAGATAAATATCGAACAGGAAAATGTGAACATGAGAACTTGCAGTTTAAGTGGGTATTTTCCGAGCTCAGGTTATTCGGGGTATACAAGAAGTAGATACATCATATAAGAGAAATAAGATCAGTGCACTCACCAGTCATAAGTGTTGACACGTTGGAATAAATCGATTAGGAGAGTGGAACCGAAGTCCAGCCCAGGCCGCCCAAGACATAGAGTTGAGCCCCCATTTTACTATAGAGACAAGTTTTTTATCCCTATTATCGCATCCATATTGGTGGATTAGAAATGAAACCTTCTTTTTATGTATTTACAGACCCCTTGTATGGGAATCCTAGTGTAGTTCAGCATTCAATAACCTCTTGTTATCTCCCCAAGGATCCTTCCTGAAGTCTGAGCACCTTTTATCCACCCCCTATACTAATGACTGCCAAACATTCAATGAAAAAAAAAAAAAAAAAGAAAAGGAGCAATGAGTGATCCCAATACACAAGTGTGTCTGTCCTGGCCTCTCCTCTCCCCTAAATACAAGGCAGAGGCAGCAGCCAGGGGTTATTCGTCTGCACACACTGCCACATGGCACCCACACTTACCAAAGTCCACCAGTGATTGTACAAAAGGCTGCAAATGGGATCAGATCAGTTTTTAGTGCTGGGAAATAACCGTGCATGGAATAATGGTGTGCGGGATGAATTACACAGAGCTGGGGACTTCACAAGGAGATCGGTTTGTATTATGGAAACCAATATTCACACACACTACTATTGTAACTCTACTATCTCTTCCTTTTACATTTATGCAAACCGCTGCTTGTGCTGTCTATAGACATTCAATGACATTTTCCTGTCTACATACATACAGTGTGCGCAAATAAAATCGTTTTGTAAATTTGCCAATATTTGTACAGCACTATCTGCTAAAAGGCACACCAGCAACTTATTTACTAAATACAATTCATTACTGTTAGAATAGAACATTGTTGCAATTGTCGAATTCTCTTGTATTTTCTTTTAAATCAAATAATAACAAAAACAATAACAATTTATAAAACAAACAAAAATAAACTCATAACAAAGAAAACACGTTATTTAAGATGCTTAATCATTGTGTAATTAAGGGGGACACCCACCCATACATGTGTATGATTGTATAATTCTAAGGACACACATATGTACATATGTAGGATTGTGTAGTTCGAAGGGGACACACGTGTGTATGATTGTGTAATTCTAAGGACACACATATGTACATATGTAGGATTGTGTAGTTCAAAAGGGACACACACATGTGTGTATGATTGTGTAATTCTAAGGGAACACATATACATATGTAGGACTGTGTAGTTCGAAGGGGACACACACGTGTGTATGATTGTGTAGTTCTAAGGACACACACATATACATATGTAGGATTGTGTAGATCGAAGGGGACACACACATGTGTGTATGATTGTGTATTTCTAATGACATATACATATGTTTGAAGGACACACACAAGATTGTGTAATTCTAAGGACACACACATATACATATTTATGATTGTGTAATTCTAAGGACCCACACATATACAAAGACTGTGAAGTTCGAAGGGTACACATACACACATACATGTGTATGATTGTGTAATTCTAAGGACACAGACACACAAATTTATGACTGAGTAATTCTAAGTGGCCCCACACGCATGCATGTGTATGATTGTGCAATTCTAAGGACACACACACATGTACATTATTTATGATTGTGTAATTCTAAAGACACACATATTTATGATTGTGTGATTCCAATGACAGACACACATATATACATATTTCTAATTGTGTAATTCTAAAGACATACATATTTATGATTGTGTGATTCTAAAGACATACATATTTATAATTGTGTGATTCTAAAGAAATACATATTTATCATTGTGTAATTCTAAAGACATACATATTATCATTGTTTGATTCTAAATACATACATATTTATCATTGTGTAATTCTAAAGACATACATATTTTTGATTGTGTGATTCTAAAGACATACATATTTATATAATTGTGTGATTCTAAAGACATACATATTTATGATTGTGTGATTCTAAAGACATACATATTTTGGATTGTGGGATTCTAAGGGGGCACACACACACAAATATATATATCAAATTGTGTCATTTTGAGAAGACACATATACATATTTACGATTGTGTAATTCTAAGGATACACACGAACAAAATATATATATATATCAAATTGTGTAATTCTAAGGGGACACACACACAAACACACACACCTATATGCACATATAATTCTTTTATTAGACCACAGGGAGGCCTTTTCTTTCCCAAAGAGGTAAGTTTATTGTTAAAGCGGCATCATTTCTTTTCTTTTGCCAAATATTTTAACAATACATTAAAATTCATTTTACAACGGGATTGTTCACTGATATGTCAACCAGCTTTACGGAAATCCGACAAATAAATAATTACATGAGTAGATGCACAAGTCCAGCGTTTGCGTTGAATGGGGTGGAGGAGGGAGGGGGCACACGTGTACAAGGTGATGTGGGGGAAGGGCTTTGGGGGCATTTATTGTACATTTTTTTGTGCTTTGATTTCTTTTGATTTTGGAACATGTACCTAGAGGGAAGAAAGGCGACTTTTATCCCAGGAGACAAAAAAACAGGCTATGCCTCGACTTATTTGAAATAATATTAATAATATTTAAAAAAAAGGATGCACATAAAACTTTAAAGTTGCATTTTTTTCTGTTCCAGAGCACCCAGCAGAGGTACTATTCTATAGTGATGCACACAATTATTAAGGTCAGGGATACAGTGTTCTTGTTACTATATACATTATCCCCCCCCCCTCCCCTCCCCGGCAGAGGCAAGTTTTTTTGGCTCCCTTTTGCATGCTTTTGTTAAAGCCCGGTGTATATTAACACTGTAAAGTTATGACCAACAACTGCATTTTATAAAATTAATTTGACATTTCAATATATATACATCCTTTCAGTCCTTTCCTGTTTTCTTTTAACAATGCTAAAAAAAAAATTACAAGCTCATAGTAACTTTTTTTTAAAATGTAATATCCAGTCAAATGTGTCCATAGATATGGATTTATCAGCGTCCTGTGACTGATAATACTTTCAAAGAAGTGGCTGCAGGCCATCCCTTGAAAACAAGACACATTTTATTTTTTATTTATTTTTTTTTGCATTTAGTTTTCCTTTCGGTTCCTCCCTTTTAGAGTCCAGATAGGTCAAGTCTTTGTAGAAAGGATGGTTCCCATCAGGTATATTTACACATGCACATTGTATAGATATCAGACAGGTCTGTCCACAGCATACTGACACGCACTGAGATTTGATCCTGGGTTCTGAACACTAGCATATCCAAAACTAGAGTGCTGTTTGGCTTTGAGTCTAAGGCTTGCCAAGCTGGAGTTACATGTGTCTCTGTAGACATAGGGGGGTGTTGGTGGGGCATAGGGGCAGGCTGGCGTTGGCACTGCTGAATTCAGAGAAGGGTTGCTCAAGTTGTTCAGATTATTCAAGCTGTTGAGGCTAGAACCTGGCACCCCAGTGACTGCAGAAGGCACCATACTGGAGGACATGCTCATGGAGGAGATGGAGTTGGGTGAGGAGAACATGCTCTGTGAGGACAAGGGGTTGACATTCATGGAGTTGAAGAAAGGGAAGCTCTTGGTGGAGAGAGAAGCAGAAGTCAACCCTTTGGCTGCCCAGTTGTTGTAGGAGTAGCCAGGGTACATGTCGTCGTAGGGTTGCATGAGGCCATTGAACTGAGGACCAAAGCCATTCTTACATAGCTCAGCCTGCTGGTTCCTCTCTCTCTTTCTCCATTTAGCTCTGCGGTTCTTGAACCAAACCTGCAAGCAAAGAAAAAAATATCAGGTCAGCAGGGTCACATACATGTAACACCTAAGACTCGTGCAAAACATGGACCATCTGCATGCTGATACACAGAACTGCCACCCGTATTAAATCACAGGGCACAAAAATCTGTCACACTACTCATGTTGCTGAGTGTGACAGCAGAGCTACAGGTCACTGTGAGAGGCCTTCTCATAAATCAGAGCAGCATATGAAGATGATCAGACCTACCCTTCCATAAACTGGCCACATAGATCTACACAAATGAGCTTTTATTTCAACCAACATGCACCTCTAGGAAGCTCTGTACATTGCAGCATGCCCATTGATCAGTAGACTGAGATCAGAACAATGGTCTTCTGACCAGTCACTGCACATCCTGATGGTACATCTGTTGTGACCTCATCAATCCATGGTCAGATTGTTACACCATATTGGCCCAACCGATTACAATATAGGACCAGCCATGACCATATATAAATTAATTATAATACAAAATATAGGACTTTCCCTGAACCTGAGCGGGCACTTGAAGTGGATACAGCCGAGAAGGAAAATAATTGGGCTGATTTTCTGAAGAGGTTGGGAACCTTCACACAAAAAAATGTTTAAATATTCACTAAATTATCCAGTCATATGAAGCGCAGATTTCAATTTACTTATTTGATTGTCTAGTTACATAATTTATTCTGTAAAGATTTTCAGCTTTTTAGAAAATCAGCCCAAGTATGTTAGCAAATCTACATTTAAATTAACACATCATAGAAAGTTTTATAGATACTGGCCGATTCATTCAAGTGTATCTGTACATGCTTGCTTAATTGAAGTGAACATTCACACAATATATTGTGTGAAAATATTGAACTCTAGTAAGTCAGTCCAAGTATGTTAGCAAACCTGCTTCTAAGGCTGGTCATACATTATACAATTTTCCAAAAGCATATGATATTTTAGATTGTAAAGCACTGAGGAGATTGTTGATGCTATATAAATCCTGAAAAATAATAATAATTTCAAACATAAACACTTTCAATTTGTATGCAATCAGTCAGACCCTTGCACTACATAGTTGAAGGTAAATCTAAAGGAAATTGAATAAAAAAATGTAGAATGTATGACCAGCTTAAGTCAACACACCATATAAGTGTTGATTTACTAAAACTGGAAGTACAAAATCTAGTGCAACTGTGCATGGTAGTCAATCAGCTTCTACCTTCAGCTTGTTTAATTAAGCTTTGACAATAAAACCTGGAAGCTGATTGGTTTCTATGTAGAGCTGCATCAAATTTTGCACTTTCTAGTTTCAGTATATAGATACCCGATACTCATTTCAGTTTACTTATTTCATCTGCTCATGGTTGGTTAATTAAATTGAATATACACAATTGTGCATGGCAATTCTCAACTTATTTAGTAAATCTAAGTCAACGTACCATATAGAGATTATAGGTACTGGAAGCTCATTTCAGTTTACTTATTTCATTTACACATGGTTGGTTGGTTTATTGAATTGAATATACACAATATCTTGCATGAAAATTGCCTACTTAAACTGGTCATACATTATACAATTTTCTTATTCAATTTCCTTTAGTTTTACCTTCAGCTATGTAGTGCAAAGGCCTGTCTGATTGCATGCAAATTGAAAATGTTTAGGTCTAACCTCATATTATATGGTTTTGGTAACTCTATAGGAAAATTGTACAAGAACATCGTATAATGTATGATCAGCCTTATTTAGTAAAACAGTCCAAGTATGTTAGCAAATCTGCCTCTAAAGTCAACATATCAGAGTTTATAGATAGTGGACGCTCAGTTCAGTTTACTTATTTCATCTGCACATGGTTGAATAATTGAATGGAATATACTTCATTTCTTACATATTTCTCAACTCATAGTTTAGTAAATCGGCTCAAGTAGCAAATCTGCCTCTAAATCAACACATCACATAAAGATACTGGCCGCTCATATCTTAAGGCAATTTACTAAAGGGACCATTGTAGTAGCAAAAAATAAATAAATAAATAAATCTCAACTTATTTAGTAAACTGGCTCAATTAGCAAATCTGCCTCTAAATCAACACATCACATAAAGATATTGGCCACTGATCTCTTAAGGCAATTTATTAAAGGGACCAGTGTAACTAAAAAAAAAAAATTTAAAAAAAATGCCAGCAGGCAACACAATATCTGTGGCCCTTGGTGAAAACTAATAGGTTATAAATTATTAGTAAATCCTCCCAATTATTGCAGTCTCAGCGGTTTACTGTAATGTTCCTCTAGTTTTCGATCATGGGCATTTTCTATTTTTTTTTTGTATGATTTTTTTATGTGATTGGGGATTTGAAGCGAAAACAAAATCAGATGAATGTTGCAGTCAATCATACCCACAATGTCTCCCCCCTTGGCACAAGCCTCACATTAGAAATAAAAAGTCTCCCTGTAAAATAAAAGTATTTTCTGTGTAAAGGGAACCGACAGCACCAAGAAAGCCTCAGAGAGTCGTTATTCAAGTGAATATTAGAACAAACGTTTGCTGTAAAAGCTCCAGAGGGTTTCCACTTGCTAATCTGCACAACTCCTGACCCAACTTTTGACTCTGTACAAATGCATGGAACTGAATGAGATCTCTGATCCCTGCCTGCAGACAATAGAGGAGCGTGGATCAATGTGCAATCCACATCCTGGGTGTCTGAATTGTCCTGCCGACACAGATTGTGGATTGGAAAGGTTCCTGAGTCTCTGAGTCTAGCCTGTTTACACACATCATGTTGTACATTACAGATCGCTGTTCACTGTACCATTAATCCCTCGCACTCCATTGACAAGAACCACATTAGGCAAGCTTTTAAGATTTCACAAACGTTGCTAATTTGAGTTGAAGGGATATCAACGACCCACCTAGATAAGTCCTGATTTCAATCTACTAAGCAAATGCCTAGCAAACAGATAAAGCCACAGATTACAAAAATAGAGATGATTTACTAAATGGGTTTGGTTTAGAAAATTTTCACTCTGCAAAGTGAATGTATAAGGCTTTGCTCAATTAAATATACAAATAAAGCTGATCATGCTATATACAATTTACCCAAATCATATAATATGAAATCAAACCTAAATACTTTCATTTTGTATGCAATCAGACAGGCCCTTGTACTACACAGTTGAAGGAATATCTAAAGGAAATTCAATAAGAAAATTGTATAATGTATGGCCAGCTTAATATTTTGCCAAGAGTGAATGATTGATATTGACTTTATTCACCAAGTGAACATTTATTTTTGTTCCTTCTTTAGTAAACCTTTTATCAACCCCACAAACCCCTATTTGCTTACAATCTCTGTAATAATCACCACAATTATATACTGGCTGAATATTTTGTATTACTTTTCAAGATTTTTAGGGGAAGCAGTCATTATAAAAATAATCTGTACATCACCTATTTTTGTGACTTCATAGAATTCCTTTATTGGACCATAAACGTTCGGTTTAATCTTTATGGGACATGTATTATTGTAGGCCTTGAAGAAGGCAACTCACAATAGTTTCCAAACTTTACAACCATTGCTGTGTTAATATTTGCTGCTACTTTGCCCCCTGAAAACAAATGACTTCACCAACAACAACAAAAAAGTTTGGCCACATTGTGTTCAAGGCTGTTTTTAGATGTAAAGTCGAGTTTGAAGTGCTATAAATCTTATCTTCCCCAAAGCCAGAGATTATAGGCAAGTCCCAGGTTGGGTTTGCTCAGCAAGCTCTTGAAATCAGTCTAGCTCTGCTAAAGTATCATGGGCCAGACATATATTGATATTCCTCTCCCTTTGAACGTGTGTAAGATTACAAATATCAGTTTTAAGCAGTAAAATTCCCATATGGTGAAAGCAATCCAGCCGTTCTCCCCCAAGAGACAACTTAAAGGCATTGAAAAATGTCCGAATCCCACATCATTCTCAAGTGCAATCCGGCTCCCCGCACAGATGTTCCGAGCGCTTTAATGACTTCTATGTAATGTACCGTATACAGCACATTATACCCAGCCTGCTTGGCCTGCTACAATACCCACTTCATTTTATGTCCTGTGCTGGTCATTACCTATATTTATGGCATATTACTAGACATGATTACATATTTTACTGCCTTCAAAAGGGGCATTTAAACCTCTCGAATAGAGTGTTAAAATAACTAAAATATTACATCCACTGAAGTAGCTTTCATTACATTCAGGCGTATCGAATGCAGCTGAAAATATTACGATTTATCTTTATGCTGCAGGGAATTACATATTATATATATACATACACACATGCATACAAATAGAAATGTATTTTTTATGCATACACACACATATATATATATATATATATATATATATATATATATATATATATATATATATATTGGGGTTGATTCACTGAAACTGGGGAGCGCAAAATCTGGTGCAGCTGTGTATGGTAGCCAATCAGCTTCTACCTTCAGATTGTTCAATGAAGCTTTGACAAAAAAAAAAATTAGAGCTGCATCAGATTTTGCACTCTTCAATTTTAGTAAATTAACTCCATTGCTTTCATTATGTTATAAACATGTATAAAACACACACACCTATATGTCTCTTAGATTGTAAGCTCCAAGGAGCAGGGCCCTCCTAAGCCTCTTGTATTGAACTATATTGCTGTATTGTCTCCCTTCATATTGTAAAGCGCTGGGCAAACTGTAGGCGCTATATAAATCCTGTATAATAATATACTATATATATATATATATATATATATACACATACACTATATATACACACACAGATGTAGCACAGCAAAGTTAATTTTTAAAGATGTGTTGCTGCATCTCTCTCTCTCTCTCTCTCTCTCTCTCTCTCCATATACACACACACACACATATATATATATATATATATATATATATATATATATATTAGACTGACAACTATATATGTAGCAAAGCAAAGATAAAAGATGTTCTGCTGCATCCATATCTCTCTCTCTAATTACAATGATATATATATGTGTAATAGATACACATATATAGATATGTAGCAAAGCAAGTGTGCTGATTTATGTGTACACATACATAGATATGTAGTAAAACAAATGTTTATATATAAAACACACAAAAATACAAAATACACACACAAATATATATACACAACAGCACACTGTTCATCTTTGCTACATATCTATTACACACAAATATAGAGGTAATTGTAATAAATATATATATTCTTCTATATTTGATTTTCTTCCTTATGAATGCACTTATTCCATTGGGGAGGTACACACTCACATGCCTATAGTTCATAATAGTTCCTGCAGAAATATAATACGGCTTTGATTCCATCTGACACACGAGAAGAGTCTGTACAAAGCCTGCATCCCAGAAGTAGTACTTACCCTGACTCTGGCCTCGGTGAGGTTGGTCCACACAGCGATCTCCTCCCTGGTGGACATGTCAGGGTAGCGGTTCCTCTGGAAGGTGGCCTCTAGCTCCTGCAGCTGTTGGCTGGTGAAATGCGTCCTCTGCCTCCTCTGCCTCTTCTTCTTGGAGGGGTCATCGGTGCTGGCATCGTCATTTTTACTTTGGTGATTTTTCTCTTTATCTGCAGACATAGACGGGACATGTGACATCTTGGTTATCATTTCAGTCCCAGTGGTAGAAGAGCGGTGCAAATACAAATGCGAATTAAAGCAAACAGCAGCTAATGAGATTTGCCCTCTTGGCCTGGTGTGGCACCCAGAGGGTTCTCCTACAAATCCTGCAAATCCCCCATAGCTGGGGATTAGAAGCCCCTGAATCCCGGACCGGGGCACAATTGCTACAGCGAGTTGTGAAAACACAATAACCTGCTCTGATCACAAAGGTTTGCTTGGATAAATAAACAGCATTGTGCCTGAATATTGCAGGTGCAGCTAGAGATGGCCCTGGTGTCAGGCAGCATAGTCACACAAAGATCATGGCAGGCTCCTTCTGCACTGGAGTCATTAGGATGTGTTTATTGCGCCCAGGTGATCCTTACTAATTTATTTCAGCCAATTATCTGCACTGCTGCAAGGTTTTCTCCCCCCCCCTTCCTCCTCTAAGCAGTATCTATTCTGAGTCAGATCCCCAGGGAGCTGCACGGCACTGAGAACTAATAATTATTTAAAGTGGTATTAAACCCAAAAAAACAAAAAGTCATATCGTGCAGTTTACCGATCCTTAGTTTTTAATTTATTTTTTGGGTTTTTCTTTATTTTCACCTGCTGATTTGGCCAGTAATACACTTCCTGGGTGTCTCCTCCTTGAATGGAAGAGCAACCGAGACACCCTTGGACAGCATCATTGCCAGTCTTGGGAAAGGGTAATGCTAGATGCACTAGCAGATTTTGAAGGATTTAAAATAGACCTAACAAGACAAACTCCAACTAACACTTTTTAAGTAGTTACAGAATAAATAGTATTTTTTCCTTCTGGGATAAAGGTTTTAAATAACCAAACAAAAGTTGATCGTTGTAAGCACCCCTGTCAGTGTTGAATGGTTTGTCTCAACCCTCTAACTGCCGCTTTTTAGTTGGAAGGCTCAGTCTGTTAAACATAAGTTAAAAAATGACTGGCCAAATTACTACCATTTGAAAATATAAACAAAATGCCTGAAAAACAATGAATGGAGACACCACACCAAGGACATGGTAATGGAATATATTTTTGATTTGGGGGTGAATACTAACTACTAATGAAGGTTATTTATTAATACTGATCAGACTTCAGTGATGGAGTTGAATGCTGCATGGACGTGTGATGCCAACAGCAATGATAGCAAACACAATAATAATATTAAGAAACAGAAGATAAGACAGCAATATAATATTGATAATAATATATGTATATATATATATATATATATATATATATATTAAAAAAAATCATTTCATTATTATTATTAGAAGCAGAGGATAAGACAGCAACAGAATAATAATAAGAAGAAGAAGAAGAAACAGAAGAAGATGATGAGACAGCAACATAATAATGATAATAATATATATATGTGTGTGTGTGTGTGTATATATATATATATATATATATATATATATATATATATATACACACACACACATTTCTATATTATTTATTATTATTATAAGAAGAAGATAAGACAGAAACATAATAATAATAATATCAATAATATATATGTGTGTGTGTGTATATATATATATATATATATATAACATTTCTATAATATTATTATTATTATTATTATTATTAGATAACACAGCAACATAATAATAATATAAAAAAGTATTTAATTAATAATAAATACGTATTTTAATAATTATTTTTCAATCTTAGTGGGGATTAAGGACTATAAGGACACTTAGTATGTTGGTACATCAGGCCAATATTTTCCTGCCTATATGTATTTCAGACTCACACATTCAGAACATAGGTAGAGATGATGGTTTGTCCCATGTTTCTGATGAGCTGCATATAATAAAAATGGCCGTTTTGACGGGCTGGTCGGGGCCGACTCTTACCTGCAGTCTCTGGACTGGAGGTGTCTGAAATGGTATGGACCTCCAACCTTTGCTTACACTCCACCGAGCGCTGCCCCAGGGAGGAAGCCATGGAGACTAGTGTCACCGCCTGAGGATGATGATGGTGATGATGATGATGGGAAGAGGCTGAAGCCAGCTTACTCCCGTGTAAAGGATCCAAATGTAAAGGGTCTTTCATAGAGTTCATCGATATAAGGTGTATTACAGAGGAGACTTCCACAATTTAAAAAAAAAATCCAAGTCAGAGAAGTAAAAAAAAAAAAAAGACAAATCTGGAAGCAGCTCGCAATGAAATTCAATTCCACTGAGTGTCCGACTGGTGGCACCACAATCTAGCGGCGACTGGTGCACAGGCTTTGGTGGAATAGTTTCAGAAAGTCACTTGTTAAGTGCAGGCTTAAGGAGCCTTACTTTTAAGTCGTGCTGAGTCCACTGCAGTCATTAGGCTCGTATTATTTTCTGCTGCAGGAGACACTGGGAATCAGACATCATACAGACCTGGGGGCTCCTCTATACACTGTCCTGGCTAACTCACAGCTGCACCCTCACCAGTGACAATGGAGATTCGGCCAAGGCTCAGTCTCTTCCCTGTTTGACTATCATCTTAAAACCAGAGATTTGTCCTACCCAGCCGTGTGACGTCAGCCCTCCGCTGCCCCCCTTCCCTCGCACACCCAGCACTGCGCGTCTCGACCAATCACAGGCCCTCCCTGTCTCGCTGCACACTGACACAAGCCCAATGGACGGGGCTACCGTAATTATAGACACCAATCCGCACTGGAGCGGGGCGGGCCTGCAAAGCATGATTTCTTCATACACGATTGTCAAGAAGGGGCGATTCCTGCATCCAGCCTGAGCCAAGATAAGGCGAGCAACCCGGAGCGAGAGAGGGGCTGACAGGCCGCCCACCCACCGCCGATCTATGTGTTTATGGACACATCGGGGGCATTGACTCAAACTGGAGAGTGCATCTGGTGCAACTGTGCATGGGAGCCAATCAGCTTCTAACTCCAAATTGTTCGATGAAGCTTTGACATCAAAACTGCAATCTGATTGGCTTTTATGCACAGCTGCACCAGATTTTGCCCTCAGCTGGTTTAGTAAATCAACCCCATTGCATACAATGAAAGGAGGTTATAAAGGTTATAACATAGCACACCATCACTAGCCAGTCAGGTTGGGGATGTGTAATGAACATCTGCATTTGAGGGTCATACTAGAGTCATGTCAAGATATATATATATTTATATTTATATATATATATATATATAATCAATGGTGCCATTTTCATGCAGTCTATCTATAGATCTATCTACTTGTCTAACTATCTATCCTTTATCTATATATCCATCCATTTTCTATCTATCTATCTATCTATCTATCTATCTATCTATCTATCTATCTATCTATCTATCTGTTATCTATGTTTCTATCTATCGATCCACCCAACCATTATTTATCATGTATCTCTAATATATATATATATATATATATATATATATATATATATATATATATGTATGTATGTATGTGTGTGTGTGTGTGTGTGTGTGTTTACAGTCTTTTTCTTTAGCTCATACAGAAGAGAAATTTATTAACTGCAATCAATAATGCAATTGTCAGAATTGTCATACAGATAATGCAATCTATCTACATCTATTTATCTATCTATCTATCTATCTATCTATCTATCTATCTATCTATCTATCATATCTATCTCCATATATACAAGTTTTAATACATAAAGGGACTTTTTAGCATCAATAAATAATGCAATTGACATAGATGTAATGCAATTTTTTATATATATATATATATATATATATATATATATATATAAAATTATTATTATACAGGATTTATATAGTGCCAACGATTTGTCTGAAGAGATGGGTGTATGGATATATATATATATATATATATATATATATATATATGTGATGTGTGTGTGTGCTGCTCTTGTTTCCTGTACATGAGAGTGATTTATTAGCTGCAATAATGCAGCTATCATATATTGATATTCAGTCTCTGATTTTTTTTTTACGCCATGTATGAGGTATTTAATAACTACAATCAATAATGACAATATTATCATACAGTGTACACTATATAACTATATGTATACATACATATTTATATAAATAAACTACAATCTCTGACTTTTTTCCCTATGTGTAAGAGGGTTGCATCACCATTTCAAACCCCCAATACCTGCTTTTCTCTATTTACGGTGCCATGGTAGCTAAACGTCCCATAAATATAGACATTAAGCAGCCAGAACGTCATCTGAAATGCAGGAATCTGATTGGGCCCTGATGGCTGAGGAGCTGACCTTTTTCACAGTGTCTTTGTGTATTTCTGCAGACATGTAAAGACAGTACAAAATTCCAGCATATTATATCTTATGACAATTTTATGCGTTTAGCTCTGCTGAGGTGGGGCAGGGGGGATATCGCCTATTTAATGCCGCACAATTTTTGACTTTATATTCCATGTATGTACATTGAGCGCTATAGGAGTCTCCAGTCATTGCTAAACAGGGCAATAAAAAAAGGCTTTGTGACTTGTCTGCCATTCCTTGCCCCTCCCCCGATTTATAATTTGACATTGACAGGACCTGGAAAAAGTACTGCACTGAAGAGCTGCATCAAGGCAGATGTCAAAACTATTAAAGGAGACACCAGCCTATTCCACTATCTATCTATCTATCTATCTATCTATCTATCTATCTTTTTCTATCCCCATCCCCACCCATCTCTCTCTCCATCCACTGCTCTTTATCAGTCGGAGAATGAGAAATAAAATCACCTTAGATTAATCTGGATTGTTCATTATCTGTTACTTAAATTCCGTGTTTTATCCATGAGATTTGGCACAAAAGCTCTCCAACCACCCAGAGCCTCGATAGAGACAATTCCCTTTCCATTTTGGAGTGTCTTTTAATCTGATAAGACTCTAATTTGCTTAAGTCTTTCAAATTGGGGGGTTTAAACCTGTCCTAGCCGTTTTCTGAGATTGAATTCCCTTTAATTCTCTGGGATCATAAACTATACGTGGAAAGTAAATATTTCCCCTTTTTTTGCACCGCAGCTGATGACCTATAACAAAGTCAATATGAATTTGGATCAATCTTCGACTATTATTGTATTAGGTATTGCTGTCCTTTGACATTAGCGACAGTCTGGGAAGGGTGGGCTGCTTCAGGAGAAGAGGAATGGAGGAGATGATTTGAGGAATTCATTGACAGCTCTGTACATACAGATATCACATAAACGTCCATTCGGGGCTGCAAAGGGACCACACACCTCACTTTAGCTAGCTTTGTAGATTCAAGATCTACCAGACTGGATATACATTGAAAATATTTATCCAGATTATTACAAATATTTTATGTAGGTGGGCCCTCCCACTAAAGAGTCGTTGGCAGATTTAAAGAAAATAGTGCAGAAATTGTACTATTAGGCTGTAAGTTGCAGTGACCAACTTTACAAACCTGTCAGGGTCAGAGCTTTTTGGTAATTGGAGCCCTACCTACATTTAAAGAACATCTGATGGTAAGCTTCCCTGGCCAGGGCCTAGATCTGAATTTATAGGCAAAAGCTTACTATAGACATTAATCCTGTGTAGGCAGTGGGGGTTATTTACTAAATCTGGAAAGTGACAAATTTGGCACAGCTCTGCATAGAAACCAATCAGCTTTCAGTTTTTATTGGCAAATATTAACTGAAGTTGAAGCTGGAAGCTGATTGGCTACCATTCACAGCTACACTAGATTCTGAGTGCCCCAGTTTTAGTTACTCTACCCTAATGTGTAATATTGTGGGATGCTAGAAAAGTATCACCCATTATCATTTTTAGTTCAGTTATGTTTCAAATACTACTACTACTACTACTACTAATAATAATATTTTTGTAACTCTAGAGACACTGCAGAATGAGACAGGCCAATTTACTAAAAATGTAGAATTTCACTCAACCAAGTGATTGCGCTTTAGTTTAGTAATCAAAGTGAGGCTGTGTTCAACTGAAATATCCAATCACATGTAAGGGAAATTACAAAAAGGGGCTTTTCTTGTGTTGACTGAATGTTTGAAGTAAATTGAGTTTTACCTGTATATATTAAAAATGTGAATATTTACACCGCTAGATGATCTTTTAGTAAATTATAAGCCACTAAAAACTGGGAGAAAACAAAAGTGCTCGTTATACAATCAAGGTGCATTTGGGTGGGCTACAATTTTTATGTTCTCTCTGCAATATGTAAATATATATATATATATAATTTATTATGTGTGTGTATATATATATATATATATATATATATATATATATCAGATATAAGATAGCCATAAAATTGATATATATATATATATATGTTATTTATTTTGGGTTTTTTATGTGTCAGTGTAATACCGCTCCTTTATTAAATTACCTCTTATCATGAGACATAAATTGTAGCAATGTAGATAGAGCTATACATGAGCATCCACTTGAAAGTGACATCAGATATAAGGTAAAGCAGAAAGTAGTTTTATGAGCTGAGTGGCAGCATATTTCATACCAGGCAAAACGGTGTCACATTGAATAAACAAACTCAAACAAATGTGAATACGTATAGCCAACTCTCATCTGTCCTGCCCTCCTCCATATACACAGCACTGGCAATGCCTGCGGGATTTATAATGAATATTAACTGCTCATCTGAAATCCCTGCGCATCATACATACCAAGGCCTAGAAATCATATTCACCAGGGAAGTGTAACACCCGTTTTCTTATGTTATGGCAAGTTGGATCTGCCCATAATGAGTGCTACTTTTAGATCTGTTTATTTCCTAAGAATGTTATATTATCATGCCTTTTTCACTGCCCACTTTTCGTGGATGGAGTTTAAATAACGAATAATAATAATTTCCATTATCGTCATCATAAATAATAATCATCATCATCATCAAGTTTCTACTTGCATCAGTAGACATATTTATTTTAGGGTGTAATATCAAATATACATAAAATAATACCATATTCCACTTTTTCTATCTATCTATCTATCTATCTATCTATCTATCTATCTTCTATCTATAAATAGATAGATATATTTGTCCAAATTTATATTTGTCCAAATATAAATAAAAAAGAGATAATGCCTTCGCCCATCATATCTATTTTAATTACATTTTAAATAATA